AATATGGTCACACCTTCACAATTTAGATAGTCACATTATTCTTCAATCACAAATAATAATTTTTATACGTCACAAATTATTTTATGGTCATAGTTCAAAAATTTTATAGATCACATTTAATTCGTTGGTCACAGATTTCAAAATTAGTTGGTCACATATCAAAATTTATAGGTTACACGGTCACAGATTTTCAAATTAATTGGTCACAGGTTATATAATTTTTAGGTCACAGATAACAAAATGGTTAGTCACAGATAATATTTTTAGTCACATATTACCTAATTTTAAGGTCACATATTATATTTTAGGTCACAAAACCAAAATTATCAGATCCGCCAGATCCACCACCACCACCTCTGCAGTGTCGCCACGACCACTACCACCGCCTTCGCGACAACCGCCACGACCATCATCACCACCACCGAAACACCACAACAACCAGCCAGTAGTAACACCGTCATCTCCAAAACCACCACCAAAAACCACAAGATCTCGCCAGATCCACCATCACAGTTACAACCACAGAATCATCGCCGCACAAAACACCACCAACCACCACCACCCGCAGCCAACTTCACAACCACAACCACCAGCACCCAACCACCACCTTACCACCACAACACCAACACCGTCTCCAATCTGAAACGTACAAACATAAACAAAAAAAAAAAATCAAAAAGCCGGCACCGCTACCACAACCAATATCAACGCCGCCACCACAACTCCATTGCGCACACACACCCATAGCACACACACACCCACCCACCACCACCAGCACTCAACCACAAGATAGAATTTTGGAGTTTAAACTCGTTAACTCACTCACCTACCTACAACCTAGACCCAGTTGACTCAATCAAATCGTCGACAATGGCCAACAACCAATGGGCGGACCCTTCTGACGATTTTCTCGAGCAAATCCTACGGTTTCCGACGTACGAAGTAGCCGATAATAACTTGGTGGGAAATGATGCGGCTAGCTTAGCAGGAGCTCCGGCTTCGATGATGCTCCAACTCGGCTTGGTTGACGGTTCGAAATCAGGCACGGAGAACACCACCACCGTCGATCTGTGCAGAGCCGTACCCAGCCATCGTCCGTGCCTGAGAGTGTTCGTCGGCGGCGATCTCAGACGGGCAATGAACA